GGCCCCGCGACGGACTCCGCCCCGCGGCGCCCGCAACCGCCATGGCCGCCTCGGCGCCCCTCGAACCGGCTCTGTTCCGCCTCCAGGTACGTCACTTCCTCCCGGGCGGGGAGCGGGCAAGCCCCAGCTGAGGAGCGCGCGGCGCGTCGGCAGCGCCCGCCCGGCAGCCGGCACCGCCTTTTGTGCCCAGGTCTGGGAAGCGGCGCTTGCGGGCGGCTGCCGGCGACCCCCGAGCAGCGCAGCACTGCCAGCAGCCTCCGGGGCGGGGAGCCGGGTTACGGGGGGTGGGGGTGGCGCTCCCGCGTCTAGCGCTGGCGGGATGCGCGGGAGCGAGAAACGGAGCGACCGTCGGTCTCCTCGCGCCACGCGTTTCCTCACATGCTGGGGGAAAAAACCAAACCCAACAATAAAACGTCTCACTCGAGCTCTTCAGTCGCCGGGCGATCTGTAGCAGCTGTTAGAGCCCCAGGGGATTATTCCTGGGGGGGGGGGGGGAGTCGGGATAGGCAGTTTCTCTCCACAGATGTCGCGTTTAGGTGCGAGTCGGCGGGCAGAGGCGGGAAGCGGCAGAGGGTGCGGTAGCAGCCAGAAGGGCTTTCCCGTGGTGACCCGAGGTGGCTTCAGACGGCTTTTCCCGTGCTGCTGCTCTGGGGCGGGGGGGTGGCCAGAGACCCTCCAGCAGAGCCAGGAATCGGCACTAGCCGGCCGCTGCTACCTTGGGTCGCGGCCGTTGCGAGGAGAGGTGGTCGAAGCTCGTCTTACCTGCCCTCCGCAGCGCAGGGGGCCCGAGCTGGCAGCGGGCGAAGGGCAGGCTTCGGCGTGCCGGTGTGTCCTGCGTGCCTGGCGTAGGGCGGGGAGTCGCTGCCGGTGAGAAGGACGGCGGCGTTACGAGAAAAGCCGTCTTAATCGGGGCTCCGAAGGCCGGCGGGGAGCTCGGCTGCCAGGGCGCGGCCGCGCTGCTGCTTCAGGCCGCCGGAAGAGAAGGCTCGCGGCGGCAGCAGCTACGAGGTTGCCCGGACGGGCGGCCGCCCGTCAACCACGGCCAGCCCGGGACGGGGGGGGGGCCACAACCGCGGGAGCGGCCTCGGGAGGGGAAGGCG